TGAACATCTTGATTGCCTTAATGAGCACGTTCTCTTTCTTGGTCAGTTACTGTTGTTTAAACAAGGACAGTATTGGGCTCATGAAAATCAATGTCACAAAATCAATAATCAAAAGAGAATGCAGGGGTGGTACTGGCTGGATGTTTCGTAATCTCTTAAAAAATGCCTCAGCTGGTGCTTTTTTGAGTTGCTCTTCCTCTCCAGTGCTTTGGTGGCCTCTTTCCATGCTGTCCATGTGTGTATAGTGGGGGATGGATTTGAAATTTTGAGGCGAAAGAGTTTAAATCTGACCCCGTGTCTTTCGCATGAGCTGTCTGCTCGGTACGTCTGCGTGCATCATTGCACATCAACGTAGGAATCACAGAGCTGTTTCCTTCATGGTTACTAATAGATTTGCTAAACACAGATGATTGCAGGGCTGACTTGACAGATGCATACATGTGTGTGTATTTATTGCCAATCCATCCACGCTCACTTTGTCACATTAACACTGTGTGTGCATTTATTGCCAGTCCATCCACGCTCACTTTGTCACATTAACACTAACTTCCTCCAGAGCACTAGTTAGAGCCATTTCCTGGCTACCATAATAAAGACAGACGATCTTTCCTCAACCTTTTTCAAATCATCTTTGATTTGATATGTGTGTGTGAACTTTTACTTAGTTATTAAACTTCTCTTTTTACAAAGAAATTGAGCCACCAACAAAAGCTGTCTGTCTGTATGTGGGAAGTTGAGTTTCTCAGTGATGAACCCCCTTAGGTTGTAGTGGAACATGTTATAGTAACCTCATTACATTGAAATAAATATTCTAGAAGGTCATTGTTTCGGGACAACAGCAAGGCATTTTCTGTCCTTGAGTTCTCTCTTGAACTTGTTAAAAACAAATCAGTTCTAACTGATAAGTGCTTGTATGTAGCTTCTCTGTCACAGTGAGATGCCTCGGACGGTGTGCCTTTCCAAAATTAGTAGATTGCTAGAAAGCAAGACGTTGAACCTGCAAGAACCTTGTAAGGTCCTTGGTTTTCTCTTTGGGAGGATAGCAAGCCTCTTCTGAAATGATGTATAGAATTGCTCTGTAAGTGCTGAGTTGAGTATAATTGTTATTAAATGATGCTGTACCTGCTGTTTGCAGGATAAATATAATAAATATATATTGGCAAAATACATATGTTCTGTAGGACCCAGAGCAAATGGTGCTTAAGATAGAAATACAGTTTTCCAAGGTGAAAACTGTAGATATCCTTAGCTCTTAGGTGATCTCTAATAATGTCTTATGCTCTGTACCTGCAAAGATGGTAAAGATGTTTAGATGGAACTGCAGAACTTTTAAGAATAACAGAATGTCTGTTTTAGCTAATTCCCCCCTTTTTCTGTGAAATAGTCCTTTTCAGACTTGTAATGTCTAATTGCTGTGAATCTAGCAAAGTTGTCTGTTTGACCAGATTTGTAATTGCACTGCAGGCCAGTGACTAGCAGGAGGTGGTAAGGGATGATTCTTTCCCCTGATGTTAAATTGCCTTAGCAGAGCTCTGGGCATGCTTGTTTTGGTGCTGCTGGGTGCCATGCCTCCACTCAAAACAGTTGGGATGTCGTTTTATCAGATGTTGAATTTAAACTGTGAGCCATTCTAGAAGGCTGGACATGTCCTTGTGATTCATGCACTGCTTTTTACTTCTGAACAGCCTTCTTGCTGCTTTGGGCAATAAGGAGTCCTGTATCCATGAATGGGAGTTGACTTGAATAAGTCTAATAGTGCATGTAAATCTAGCTGTTTTGCTGAGACGCTGAGGACTGCTCTTACTTTACCAGTGAATTGTCACCAGCATAACTAAGTACTGTGAATTGCTGGCTTAAACTTCCCAAAGAACTTTCAGCATCTTCTTGCTGGATAGCTGACTCTGCCTGTGTCTCTTGCTCTTGCTTGTTTGTATCATTTTGATGATAGAAGTGAGCAAGGCCTGAATATCAAGTTGCATGTCAGTCCTTTATCCAAGCAGTATTTCTGCAGGGGTTTGGGGCAAGTCCTTGTTAGTAGAAAAGGAACAGTTTCATGCCTGCGTGGCTCTTGGGTTGGTGAAGATATCTTCAGAAATGACAGCAAAGAACACAACCCCCTGCAGGTTAGGATTTAAACAGACTGCAAGAAAGTCAATATTCCAATATCTGTGGTCAAAAGCCCGTTTCAAATTATAATGCACTATTAAGCTGGTAACATCAATTAAAGCATTAAAGTAGAATTGACATGAGGAAGAAGTGTCATTGCAAAGCAAAAGAAAGGGCTTCTGGCTTCAAAATGCAGCAGGAGAGAGCAGGACCTGGAAGCTGGCATGTCTGTACCATGAAGCAAAGCTTGGTAAAACAAGCCACCTTTGTTTGATGGGTACCCATTGTGAATGCTTGTCTTTTTGCACACATTAGACTTGGTAGC